GCCCAGGGAGGGTGGTGGACTGGCCAGAAGACCACTCGGACCGCAAACGGCCGAACACGTAACAACAGCGAGAAGGAACGACGCCAGCTCCCAAGTCGCGGCTCATTCGACGGGACCCAACCACGCATTTCACTTTCACGAAGCAGAAATCGTCGCTAGGAGCGACAACCGCGGACCGCTCGAGTCAGGGTTTTCCGGTCCTCAATCAATCAACAAGCGCTGCGACCTCCCCCTCCCTCCATATTCGGTGCTGAGACTTTATTTAGGCAAAATAGTTGGTCGCGAAGAAAGCGTTCAGATAGCTACCATCTCTGGTGTCAATGTCTGCGAGCCAAATTACCCAGTAGTCCACACAAATGATGAGATCCGGCAGTCAGCACCTCGACTGTGTGTGATGAGCCTGGCACCTGGCCAGTCGAGCAGTGATGAACTCAGGAGCTGCCAACTGCTATAGGCATGTAGCGGCCCAGCAACTACACCCTATAAATACTACAACACTTCAGAAATCCACTATCGTTATCTGACTCTGTCCCTGATGATGTACCCGTGTAGGGATCCGAAACTTCGGACTAGTAAAGCTGTTCCAGCGATCGTGTCTTCTTCCTCGCGACTACTTCCTAAAACTCACTTTAAACTTCCCAAGGATTGCGAAACCCGTGCCAGCAAAACCGATGTGCATTTGTGCACGAGTTTCTCCCCGAAAACACCGTTCATTGCACAACCAAACAATCAGGGGTCTGGCTAACGTAATGTAGCAGTTTACCGGCTTCTGTGGCGTCCCAACCAGAGGTCCTACTTGAAGGCACGCGCATCTTGAAGGTGCCTGTAAGTTCAGAGAACACGCTTATGTAAGTGGCCCCCTACTGCTTCTTATGTGACCACGACAAACAGAATTTGTGACAATGAGAAGTATTGCTTCCATTATACTTAACTCAAAAAGGCAAACGAAGCGACACTCCTATTTTCAACCCTTCCGAGAGGTCAAACAAAAAGTAAGTTCGTGTAGTAAACGTGCAACCCGGTGGATGGATCCAAACTGCCAGAATATAAGGATGATAGCAAAATAAAGAAAGTATATTTCGGTGGAGTAAAAAAAGTAGAAAGGAGCATTTACAACGTGGCGTCAGTATACACAAAGGAGTCCAGTGCTTCCCAGACCCGCCGGACCGCGCGCGATAGGTAGTCCGGCCCGCGATCAACAGCAGCCAGGACCTGAGAAACCTTGTCAACACTGTAAAAAGACAAAAACCCACAGATGGTGATACGCCAGGCGGGCGGCGAGCAGTGATGATTTTGGAAGAGAACTATTTGCTTACTTTATGGTTTGTAGACAATCCTCCACCACCACCGGCGGCGGCGGCGGCGGTGATTTCGACGACGGTTGAAACAGACAGAAAGAGACGATGGGAAAGTGCAGCCGGAGGGCGGTCAGGAGCGGCTTGCTGACAAGAGTCACCGAAACTCTGAGTAAAGGCGGGGGGGACAAGGGAACGACAATCACTCACATGAAAAGGGCCAAATTGCCGCCCTCCTACTGTCAACAAAGATATACCTTTCGTACAGTGCATGATAGAGCCGTTGAGTACAATTTACAAAGGGGTCGCCGGCTAGAGGTCCAAGCACAGACGGCCGAGTGTTCGCGCCGTCGACAGGCAGCCCACCTCAGTAATAATATGGTTGTAGTATGATTGTAAAACATGACATTAAAACGAAGGCCCAACCTCCTTCAGTAGAGCGTGACGAGTGGATAGCGCGACGGACATAATACTGCAGCAGCAGTAATGGTCACTTAATGCAGTCGATTGAACGCGGAAAGGCAGTGAGTACGACTAACTCCCTAACAAAATTGATACCTCGAAAACCTTCCTTCAAAGGTGTACCTTCAGTTGGGGATCAGAAGTACTTAAGGACACATTAGCGGAAATGGCAGTTCAACCATAGCAGGCGAATCTTACTGTTTATTGCTATAGAACCACAATGAATAAGCGAGTTACCCGCTTACTGTCTTCTGACATAGCTTTGACATCGGGTGCGTCTAGTCCGGTGAATAAACCAGCACTGCATCGATGATGATGGATGGATGTATGATGGGAAATGGTGCAGTAATCTTTTCTAGACACAGAGACCGGAAAAAAGGTAAACGAGATTTCGAGTCTAGTGAGTCAGAGCGACCTAATATGGTGTGCAAACCGACTGGGTTTGAAATGAACCCTGCGTCAGACGGTTCACCGAAGGCCATTGAGATAACCTTACATTATGGGGAAGAGAGGCCATCAATCGGAAGCCACTAGCCTGACCCTCAGTCTGGGAGAGGATTAAACTAGGCCCTCAGTTTGCAATCTTCTAAACCCCAGCGACTGTTAACACACCAGGAACAATAATACGCCTTGACTAATCAAAGCGCAATGCCAGTTAAGTATTAATTTTCTTCTCGGAAGCAATGAATGCAGGTTCCTTGGAGGATTCCCAGTCGAGGACTGGCACGTTAGTGTTTATGAATAAACTTGGAATTGAGTCCGGAGACCAGAGCTCCAAAGTCAAAGCGGAACGCTCGAATTCTGTTCTATAGCTGATAAGCGCTACTCCCACGAGATGACGGCTTTACTTGACGTCAGACTTAACTGCTCTGGTCACTTCTGTGAATCCCTCTGTGTTTGTTCATTCGGGGCGCGTTCTGCAAGTGCGCGCCACGCGAAGACTTTGCCAGCGGTGTTGAGCAGAGAGATGCCCCTGTGGTTGTCGCAGATTTGGCGGTTCCCTTTTAACCTGTAGAGACGGAGGATTGTGGCGTCCTTGAAGTCCTGAGGAACTTCTCCTGGAAGCCACATCTCACACAGAATATACCAAGCGCACTGCACCCCACCACTACCACTCAGAGGGCGTGTGTGAGCAAACGCAAATGAAAATGAGTGATACTTCGTAAAAATGTGTTAGCGTTAAGGGCACTGACCCAGTCGTCAGTTGGCAAAGAGTAGAAGAACGTAAGAACGATCAGTGAGCGCCCCTCTCTACCATTGTATATTCCCGGGCGAAACCGACTGGACAACGGGCTCGTGGCCCAGTGGTTAGAGGCGTGGACTTCTAGCTAATAGGTCGCGAGTTCGAGCCTCGGGTGTGCCACACTTCGGGGGGTTGGGTATGACTGGCTGACGACGGCTAATAAGCCATAAATGGTCATTCCAGTCTCCCTCGTCTTTTTCGATAATAACATAAAGACAAAACTGTAGACAGGTAGGGGAGGAGGCGGAGTTCTACGAACCTGGCTGAGGACTGTAACGTCATATCTGCCAACTTAGTAGCGGCTTCGTAGAAGGAGGATGAGGAGCGCCAGCAGACACGTCCTGAGGTGAGTGAGTCGACGTCCGAGGAAGAGGAGCAGGACGACGAGAGGATCTCGTCTGACTGGGAGAGCCCTGAGGAGACGGCGTCTTGGCCGGCAAAGGACACGGAGATATCATGACCCTGCAGCCAGACAGCTCGAACTGAGCAGGCAAGCACTACGTAGGGCTGCAGACTGTAGTCGAAAAACTGCATTCACGAAAGAGAGAGAAATTGGAAGATGAGGTTTACACAAGAGGAGGGGAGTAGACAAGTAAGTTCCTGCATGTCTTGCCGAGAATTTGTCAGAGAAAGAGAGCTGAATTCCAAGAGTCAAGAAGTGGATTCACGACTGGCATCGACAACGTCCGTCGGCCGGTTGCAAGTTGTTGCCGTCAACTCAACCTTTGTCTTCAGCATCAATAATTGGTTGGTTAGATGGTCGTATGCTTTGGCCCATTTCCCGTGGTTTTTGGTTTTAGTAGGTGACGGCACAAAAACCACATAGGCTGCATAAAAGTTAATCTGACGGTTGACTGGTTGTCTGCCAGTGACGTCTGTTACAACTATCTCAGCATACGATGGTTGCCTCTGCGCTAAGATCACAGCTATGGCCGGTTTTGATGGCATGGGTCGCCACCCGAAACTACGGAGTCGTGTTTCACGCTGCAAGTTGGTGCTCATATAGTTTCGTCGTCTGTAGGCGTCAGCCTCCTCCATATCCACCCAACGGTCGATATAGTACTCGCGACTTCGTTTTAAAATGAGTGGGGTCCTTTCGGCGCATCACTCACTACTGGAGTACTGAATCAGGACGCATACTTCGATACACGTTTCACGAGCGTAATGCTACGCCCTGACTTAAGCTAGGCTACCCCTCTCCTCAGTTCCGTCAATTAGAAGCCGTTCGTTGGGACCGCGACACACTCCATTCTTCACCATTCCAAAGCCGACGAGATCGCCCCTGCCTTCTGATGCACCAACTTCGTGTAGACCCTCAACGCAGCGGAGGCAGGTGTTACGCATCAACCGCGGAAGTACTGAGCGCCTTCTATGATTATGGCCCCAAAGTGGTGAGCCAGAAGTACTATCTCACGAAGCAGCAAAATTAATGCCGAAATTGCAATCCGGATCACACTGGCCTCAATCTTCAATCTGACGGTGGATTCATAGTAAACATCAAACAGAGGACAAATAGGGCTGTCATCCTGGCAACAATTCTCTGCGACGCGGGAACCTGGGCCATTCAAATGAACCGAGAAAATAAATGCGTACACCTTCAACTAGTCGGCCCTCGGACAATGCTAGAGAAGTTGCTGGAACGATCATCAACACCGGGGTTCTCGAATTGACTGGCATTACTAAAATCATTCCAACTTAGGTGGAGCAAATACGTTGTGGGAAAGGCTAACGGGCGTCCGCCTAAACGGGTCATTTTGGTGATTCCTCTGAAGATGCTTGCGAGGAAGGGCAAACACCAGCGCTGCAACGACACTGAAGACGCCACCAAAATGTCTCAAAAGCAATAAAAAGATCTAGGAAACCCTCGCGCAGGGTCGCTATGGGTAACAGCCTGCCACGAAAATTAGGGTAGCACCCTCCGGAGATAACCAAATACGGGCGGCCCGCAAGAGAAACGGCAAGCAGCGGACAAACGCTGTCGCTGCTCAGTCCCACCCAAAATGTCCAAACTGTCAGTACACGTTTGGGTTACAGATTAGGCTTGTAGATCACCTCCGCATCTACTGCGATGCCAACGCTGTCAACCTACCCGCCCCACTCCGGAATACCATACCTCTGGAATAACTTCCCCCTCCCCACACTTGTCCTGTGAACCTTCATCCTCAGATACTTTTGCAGTCACCGCATGACAAAGGCCGCCATGGTAATGGTCACCAATGACGAAATAGTACTAGTCTGTACCCACTGTGGCAATGCCGCACAAACCACTGGCCCAGTCAGACACTGACACACACGAACAGAAAAGTGCTGTCTGGGATTCTAGCTGACTATCTCCAAATCCTCCTATCGTACACCCACCACCTCGTCGTTACGGCACGAAATCTTATCTCGGTCGATATAAGGACAAAGATGTAGCCCTGTATTGATAGGCGATATCTACGAATTTCGCTTTCAACCATCTCACATTGTCCTCTGACGTCGGTGTTAATTCCGATAATTGGTGATATAGGTCTTCAAATTGAGCCTCAATCTCGGCCCTAACTGACCTACGTAAGACTACTGAGGTCTTCATCTCAAGACCTGACAAAGGAAGCGGGGTCGTGATCCTAAACAAAAAAGATGTAGCCAACAAAATGAAGGCAAAATTGTCGTTTGTGTGTCTGTCTTTCGGTGTTTATGAAGGTAGCCTCATTCATTGTCTCGAAAATGGATGATTCGATCAACATGACCAAATGTGATCCCACCAAAGATGAAAGGGCCCAGAGCAGTTTCTCACGATTTGCCAAGAAAGAATCCTGGCGTGTGTTTGGCGTGGTTGGATGTAGACGGTGGCTATAACGCTTAGTGAGATGGACTTTGGGGGCCGAGTTTCCCAGAGGATAATTGGCCAAATGCCCGATCCCCGAGTTACCGCAATCATGCGCACGTCTAGAGGGGGAACAAACTACCAATTAAGTCGCCTGACTGTCAGGCGCGACTGCAATAGCTCGGAGGTTGAGAACTAGGAATATCTGCGGTTTCAACCTGTCCTGGGTGGCCTGTGATAAAAGCTATTCCAGTTATCAGCAGCTTGATCCTTCAATCAGAGCCAGCGCACTCTGCGCATTAAAAGAAATTATTCGGAACCATATGCTCCTGTCCAGTTATTGGTCGTAAGCCAACGGCGGGGGGGAGGTGGACCGGTTTAACCAAATATGAACGCACCCATGGCAGCTGCCGCTCTAAGTGCAGTATTCGCTGCAAAAAAGGTGTAAGTCAAGGGGGCTTAAATTTAACGAATGACACAGGTAGGCCATGAATAGCGTAACAAAAAGGAAACCTCACATCTTGGACGTCCTCAAGGGTTTTGCCAACTAGGAGACGCTGGATACCCGCAGACTGTAGACTGTTCTGCACAAAGGCACCAATCTGGCCGGCAGCCGGCAGTGCATGTGGATCTTGAGGTAGGCAGGAATGCGAGAAGGCAGTGTTAATAATGGCGAAGCTCAAAAAAAAAACGATAGGCGACAGATGTATGCTGAGGTGGACCTACCCTGACAATAACGCAGGCTGGCTTTGAGGGTGATGAGCTCTGCGGGGAGGAAGACACGATCCGAATCGGTGGCGTTCAGTTGGGCCAACGGTCGACAAAGTAGGCTCACCTCAATGAGGCCAAGTAGAGTGCGTAGTAAATACCTCCGTTCGGCACGAGATGTGCAGGTGAGTTGACTGGGAACAAACCTGGCAGGGCAGGAAAGAAACGCAGTGCGTCGATAGAGAGAGCAGGGGCGGATGGACTTACGGGGAAAAAACCGAGTTCACATTTCCGCCGGACCTGTGCCTGTACGGTAATACTGAAACCTAATCATACGCTCAAACCCTAACCGTAACCCGAAAACCTAAGCCTAAAGGCATAACCCTAACCCGAAAATCGGAAACCATTAACCGGTACCCTATTCCTAACCTCAGACGTAAATCGGAAGCCAAACGGGTCAGATGTGATTATGGAACCCCAAAAAGTAGCCCCAGTAAGCAAACCCTCAGCCACCTGTAACACGGGGCCTGGCTACCAACTGCGATCTAGCCGATGGACTTACTGGGAAAAAAAACCGAGTTCACATTTTCGCCGGACCTGTGCCCAAACCCTAGAATTCAGATGATATGTTCGCGGCCACTTCTTCAGTTCAACTTTTGACTAGAAGCATGGATGGTTGTGATTGGTCGCTGTCAGTTTGAAGAATTGGACAGTTCCAAGCATCTCGGGGTCATCTTGTCATTAAATCATCGTCCGGGTCGACGCTGCTAGTACGGCTTCTCCTGGCTCTAAAGGTGCCCATGGAACCGTAGATAGAGCCAAATCTCACCAATGAATATCGCGTGAAGTAGGTACCCAGCCGATTTGCCCTCCCTGTTATGCTATAGACAAATTCACGCGTAGGCCACCCCTGCGCCCACCTTGTGCAGCAGCGATAGTGGGTAATCGTTAGCAAGTGGTGGGAAACTAGCAAGAACTGGAGATTTCCGACCTCCGTTGTCTAGAAGGTATTCTTCAAGAGAATCACAACAGTCTTCCAACCAAAATCCCCTCTGATATCGTGAGGGCATACCAAGGCGCCAAAGAAAGACAGCTGGGCTGATTTTACCATATTTTTCCTCACCCGCCCCCTGAATTCAATGTTGTTGGGTAAGAGGAGGGCAGCCTAAGCTCACCAGATCCGCTGTCACATGTCAACACGCACGAGGAAATGCTACTCGTGAAACCGCTAAGGTAGGGTGGATCAAGCATAACCAAAACCGTAGCAGGCCCGGGGGGGAAAACGGTGATTTTGGGGAAACGATCACCTTTCTGTTGACTTGGCCACGAGATGTCTGCCGGTCCCATGATTGTCACCCGAAAAGGTGAACTTGAGTGAAGGTCAGGTTTGCCGTTATAGCGAGAAATATTAACAGGTGTGGTGGACAACTCTGACTCCTCAAGGCCACTTGTCAATGCGACATTCTAGCATGACGAATGGTGACCTACTCCCAAACACGATTCAAGGCGCCAGCCTTATTCCACGAGGGTGAGGCTAAGGGGTGTCAACGCAACCTATTCGTACGACAGTCCAAGACGTATGGCGTCTGGCCCATACTACGGAGTCCGTACGAAACGACATGGGGCTAACTTTAAAGTACTCAAATTGGTATCCCTTCGGAAAAGGGGAGGGAGTGCGTGTTGTCTGTGGAACTTGGGTGGAGATTGCGTGAACATAGGAAATTATTGCCCAAAAGCAACGAAACTACCAGGATTCTACATGAAGAGGCACACCTAATATTGTGGTTTAAAATAAGTGTCAACATACATGGTCACTTTGATACTCCCTATGCCATAAATTGCGTCCATCTTGACTTTAATACGTCGAAGACGAGAGTTTGTGTCTTTAAAGATTTGTAGTAATAGGGCGTTTAGGGCGGCCGCTATCTGCAGGTGTGCCACCGAGTGACTCCAAACTACCAGGAGCAATAGGCGATCTTTTAGTACGGATGAAACGAGATGTGATTTTGATTTGGAGGAGGCACAACCTTAAGGTCATTTGCGTTCACCAATAAATCCTGTAAATACCAAAATAATCTTCAAATAAGGCAGGCGGTATATGTGCCATCTCAAAAAAATGTCAAGCACAATTCTAAAATCTATTTTCGACTCGAAAGGAAACTAAAATGGGGGTCGTGATATCAATCTTCGTGCGGCAGGATCCTAAAATATTTCAATCACGCCTGGATGCCGGATTTTGAATGAACTTTTTTCCCGTCGCCTGACAGAATTACACTCCGTGTAAATGGCCAATTAAATAGTATGAATTTTCCCATTGATTTTCAATGTCCTTATAAATTCAATTATATTTCATAGACAACGTGCGGAAAATGTTCTTTCTCGTACTCATTTGGCAGCAAACTACGTCTTCTTCAGTTATTTCACTCAAAGAAAAGATATCTTTCAGTTTTGAAGAAGATTTCAATTATGAGACTTGTTTAGACTGTGAAATTTCTATTTATAAAGCATCGAATCAGCACGTCTTTAATGCTACCTATAAAGTGTACAATCTGGTCCGCATGCACTCCACAATTTTATGATTGCTATATGACGGGTACCTAATAGCATGCAGAAATGTGTGATATTCTTTCGACGGAATGCACACGGTATGCAGTTTGGAAACCCTGAGCGTAATTGCAACGGCAGGTGGGGCAAGAAATTAATTCCGGAGTTGAAACAGTTTTTAGAAACCGGAAGACGTCCCCTCTTGAGGTGAAAAATCCAAAGACGTACTTTGCGCCAAATGACAATACAAGAGACGATATTTTCGTGCACGTTTTCAGTAAAATATAGGGACATTTATTAGGGCATCAAAAATCAAGGCGGAAATTCGTACTACTTAAGTAGTCATTTTTGCAGACAGTCGGGAAGAAGCTTCCTCAAGAGCTAGCATCTTGGCGTGACTGAAATATCTTGTGGCTAAGCTGAAAGACAACTACTATTACAACCCTACTCAAGTAGCCTCTTAGATGAGGCGGCACCTTCGTGCGACCTCATCTAGAATGACACAAAATGACACAAGGTCTTGGAGCACTGCCCTATGAAACCAGACTGTCAACTCTCAACCTGTTTCCCCTTTCCTACAGGCAATTACGTGGTGACCTTATACTTGCATTTCGCATTATCAACGGCCTAGACTATTGTTTAGATCCCACTGATTATTTCATTCAAGCTAGCACGCCCACTTTGCGCCGTCATCCCCTAAAACTGCGTTCAGGGAAGTCAAGAATCAATGGACGAAAGTTCTTTTTCAGTAACAGAGTGGTTGCAGCGTGGAATGCCCCGTCTACCGATGTTGTGATCTCCTCCTGTGTGAATTCTTTCAAGTGCAGACTTGACGCGCATCAAGCATCCCAATTACCAGCCTCACATCCACTCGTATAACCCGGTACCAACTTATACGTGTTTATACTGCTTGTAATTAGTAAGTAACCGTTAATGATTACTCTTTGTCAACGAGCTGTCCGCGATTATGTACAAAAGCCCTTTTTCACCTTCCCACTTATCAATGTTTTTCTCCGACGACTTGTAACCAATAGGGAATTCAAAGGCGCTCGCCTATATTTCTCTTAGTAAACTGAAACTGAAAATCACACTTCAGGATTTCGGCTAACAATCCATGAGATAGCACGTCTACTGTAAAATATCATCGATGTTGCGCAAGAATAGGAAACTCATCAAAAAATAGCCAACACTTCCTGAGGACTGACTTCTTTGCGTGCAATCTGCACAATCAGATGAAAAGACACACGACAATGGGCCGGCATTATACTGTGCATGGCATGTTTGTTTACGCTGATGTGTGCCGTAAACGCATTCACGTAAAATTTTATATCCGAAAGCATTTTAAGTCATTTCCAGTAGCGATTTACTAGTTCCGGCACCTATTGTGCCCTCCAGTTATGACTGGAGTTCGACGAGGTTGCGTTCGCTCGCTAGACTATTAACAAAGGCAGAGGTTGTTTTGATAGCCCTCCGTGAATACATTCGAATCCTGAGCAGGCCTGCGACACTGGCCTCCATAGGATCTCGTATAATGATTGCCCAGTCGAATTGCGAAGAAAGTCAAGGCCAACAAACGCACGCTTTAGATTATCTATCGTCAGATCTGTAACGGTAGGGCAGCAAAAGGTGAACAACAGAGAATAAAAGAGGTGGTGGGGGAGGGGGTTGAGAGATGTCTAGACATGTCAAATGAATGAGCAACCTAGCTCTCAGGTTAGTGGGTGGAGGAAGGGGATGTCGGTAGGGTGTGCTAGTACTTCGTCGTTGTAGCGCAACGGGGGAAGATGCAGGTAGTAAAAATGTGGGGCTCAGCGTGGACCAGAGTGGTTGAAGAGCTTCAAGAATGACCTTTTGGGAGCATGAGACTCCCACCTTACCCCTGTCACCCTTGCCACTGGCGGTCTTTTAGTTTTCGTCTCTCAATTTTGACGCATCTTATTATGGAGACCTGATGACGAAGAATCGAAGGCGTGGGCTAGTCGACTTCAACTTTTTCCAGTGTGGACCGAAAACTTCGCCTGAGGACATATATTGCAAATACTAAAGTACTGCTCAACAGTTTTGTGCGAAAAGACGCGCCCGGCTTGACTTTGAGGGTTGCCGGCTGACAGGGTTAGGATGGGACAGCCCATTCTTAATGTGGCATTCACGTCACTATTCCATGTGGCATTATAGGGAACCCTTCAGGTCGTGTGTGGCAGGTGTATACGAGTCGGTTAGCTGGTGGTTTTGAAATGGTCTTACTAGTGAGAGGGAGTGAGAGAGATGCTACGCGAAAGATATTTCTGCGCCCCCCAGCAAATGGTGGTCCCCTCGTCGATCACGATGGGTGAACAACCGCCATACAAATGCACAGACGTAAGTTCTGACAAGGAGAGGGCAGTTTTGACTTAAGAGCCTTCCTCCCTCTCGTGGCTAGCCAAGCAAAACTCCATTCAGCCATAGGTCTAAAGGGAAATGAAGAGGACAGGCGATGTTGCATGAGAAATTTCCAACACACTCACAGGTGCGTAGGGTACTCGACTGAGTCTGGCTCCCGCTCCGCTCTTTTTAATCCGCGAGTGGGTGGAGGAATCGCGTAGAGTCTCGATGCGCCAATAGGGACTGTGCAGTGGTAAGTGATGTCCTCGAAACAGGGCAATTCGACTGCGGTCTGAGCTGAGACCTCCTTGGTCAGCATAATTCGCTGGCTGGTCAGACGTGCGGCCTCTTCGTTGAAAGAGGCCAGCTGACGTCGCGAATCACGGACATCCTGGGCCAGCGCGTCCAGTGCTGAGGGCAAAAAGGTGCAGGATTAAGAGAATGTCTCACATTCTGGGCGCTGGATACCACAGAAAAGTGCCATCGTGTCGGATAGTCCGCAGCTTCAACGGCGTTAACTACTTCGATTCTGTAAACTACCGAAACGCTTTGTTGAGGCGTCAAAGGCCACATAAGAGGAAATGAAGGCGTTAAAGGACGGAAACTTCCGGTTACCGTAGTAAGAAAACGGTGCAAATGACAGACATTCAGCCCACACGGTGGTCATCTGCTATTCAAGCAAAGGACTGTGCGCCCATAAATGCCTTGGTAAATATAAGGCAACTTGGCAGAGGTGGCATAATCATATCTGCCGGCTAACAAACCAGGCGCCCGGCAAAGATAGGGCCGCGAAAGTGAAACACAGTTTCAGTCGAAAGACAAATATATTAAACAATGGTGAAGTCAAATTCAACAAACGTATGTTTTCAATTATTCATCCCTTGGTCGCATGCATCTACGCCTCGACTTGCTCCTGTAGGACAAGTTATAACGGTCGAACGACTAGGCGTCTATCAAAGTATATGCGTGGGCACAATCCTGCCTGACTAAGGCATGGGCTCAGTTGCGGCTCACTGGGTGGGCAGCGGCCACCGATTAGACGTCAACCAAGCACTTCGAGTCATCAATAAGACGCCGACTAGGCACTCCAACTTCCTTCGTCAGCGAACACTTGCGATGACAGGGGCAGTGGCCATACGGTTAGCTGACTCAGTCTAATGCTCGCTGAGGTCTTCAAGCTCCTTCTGCTTAGGTCGAGCCCAACATTTTCGCCTCCGGCTCCTGTCATGTCGCGCTACAACGATGAAACCTAGGCATAACTCACTGCGAATCCTCCCTTCCCCATGGCCCTGACAGAACTAGACTGTGTTTACCCCCGATAAGTATGAACATCAGAGGATGTGAACGGGTCGGATTCTTATTTGGACCCACCATCAAAGGCAGGCACAGGTAAGGGTGATGGCGGCACTGACGATGGGTTGGAGTGAGAATCCGACACGTCAGACCAATAAATTTCTTGTTCCCGCGACCTCATCTCCTTTCTATTCTGAACTGCTCCCTGGGACTCGCATATTTGCTTCGACCGGTATGTCTGGACGTCCTCAACCTTCTTCTTCTTCTTCCTGACTACTACTCACTGACTGTCTCCGCTGGTCTGCCGCAACTTACTTGTATAACTGTACGGACCCGACACAGAATAATCGAAAGCGTACGTTCGCCAAATTTGACTTCTTTATATTTAACATGGGTATCGCCCCTGAAATAAAGCATTCCAGAGGAGGCACAACACCTTCCTGAGCCCGTGCAAAGGGGAAAACTTACAGGCAAACACACGCTTGCTTTCTGCCATTGTATCATCCCAATCTTGCAATTCTACAACAGAGAGAACGCAAAGACTGGTTCAGTTAGGAGATATAACAAGTTAACAATTACAATTTTCAACGAAACCTCGTCTAATTCTCAGGTTGTTGCTAAAGTCAGAGTCATAGTGCAGAATTTCAGACTTCATCGGCATGCAAAAAAAACTGCAACCTACCCTGGATGGCAGCCTCCAGTTCTTTCTGTTTTTTCTCCGCGCAGAACTCCATTCGATCCAACTCTGCCTGGAGGACGATTCGAACTGACTAATAGAGCGGAAAGCCGAGGGGTGGTGTTTCAGAGCAAAGCCGAAGATAACTACTGTGGCAAAGTTGAAGGCCCCACAGATATCGTGTAAAATGCGTTAGGGGGAAGGATTATAAGGAATATCCGGGGGCTAGAGAGAGAGAGAGCCGCAAGAGGGCTAGAGAGGGACTGGGATCAGGGAGGGTGAGGAAAGAAGTCGACTGAGGAGTAGGACTAAGAGGCATGGTGTAAGGAGTATGGATTGGAGGGAGCAGCCTGGTGGCTCGACAGGGCATAGCATGGGGGGCAGTGTGTAGAGGAGGGGAGGGTGAGTAGAATGGGGATAGGTAGGGGTCAAAGGAATACTAAGGCGGGAGGAGGAAAGGGAGAGGTGCGGAAAGTGACAAGAGGGGGCGGAGAGTAAATTTCCGAGAGCAGCAGTTGGGAAGACGTCATTTGCGAAACAAACTAACTCACCTCGCAGGTCGTTAGGCTGTCTTTTGTGATGTTCAGCACCTCCTGCCGGGCTCGGCGAGTGGTCTTCGCCTTGCACTTCGCCAGGAGCTTGCTAGTATTGTCGACAATGGCGATGCGCTGAAAAGACAAAGTGAAGTTAGGAAAGGAAAGGGAGCTTAATCTGCGCGGCTACTCTTGCTTTTTATCCTTAAAAGTCGCTGAAGAGACATTCGTCAGAATGTGTTATTTTTTTTCAATTAAAGACGCTTGCGATAACCATCGAGTCACGTTAGACAGTGAAGTTAGTGAATGACCTCAACAACCACGGGTCGAACTTGCTGACAAACGACAAAGGTGTAAATGAGGATGGATGATCGGATCAACGAGGCGCTGACGACCCAAGTTCGACTACCTCAAGACTTCTGGAATCGGGTGATCAGGCTGTAAACGCGTAAGGCCACCGCCAAGAAGATACTACTGTATGGACGCAAGCTACGGACTATGGGCCGAGAAGACGTCCGTTGTCTGGATGTAGGCGAGTGATGGTCTGTGGGCACAATCCTTCGAAGCCGTTTCTCCCACTGCCTCCCCCAGAGGAAGACTGAAAAATCAGCCAGGGACACAACTTATCGGCTTTGCCTCCTTCCTTTTCGGCCCAAACGGCTCGAGGCTAGAGGTGTAGAACTATCGCCAGCGGTTACATTCACAGCTGCGGCTTACTGCCGCTACTTCGTCCATCCAAGTATAAAAACACAAATTGTCCAGGCAAAATTGTAGAAGTACAGGCAGTTGTGGGCTTGAACGCCCCAGGATACCTTTTTTCTCGAAAGCCATAGTGACCTTTGTGAAAAAACTGGTACTTGAGACGGCTAGCAAGTCTAAACAAGGTGGTCGACTGCACCCCTCGATGTGTGATAGTCTGCAGCAACAGACCGCGATATTCGATCCCTCGTCCAGCAGCGAAAAACGAAAACTGCGCACCTGTCAGCCACCTTCACACCTGGCCGCACCGACTCGCGTCTACTTCCTTTTTGCCACCTGCGGTCAGGCAGTGGCGTCCAGTGTGAAACGCAAACAGAACCAAACCCATAGGGCCGACGACGAAGAACGTGTGCAAACCGCTTCATACATCTTTCGAACAACGGTGGCGGAAAGCCTCCTCTGTTTGCCCTCCACGGGCACAGCCCAACGTTCTGAACTATAGGGCCTGACCGGACGGGCACCTCCCCCCCTCCCAACTTAATGGTGATTAGGGTACTACCACGTGCCCGCGAGCACCTTCGAAGACTTGCAAAGACCTTGCAGACAGCATCAGGTCAGACAGCGACGCAGTTCCTAGTCTGCCCGTTTGAAGACGAGTTGGACCCGTGATACTGTCAAGTTCTTCAAGCTGGCAGCCAGGGGGCACGAGCGATCTCTTCTTCGTCAGAAAGGCAACATAAGAGTACTTTTGATCTCGCTGTGTTTCTGTGTAAACGACATGACGACCCGGAAAACTGCATTCCGCACGTCAACATTGTCAGCATGATTCGGGCCGTTGTGCAAATATGATATAGCCAAGGCCGGGAAGGGTGTCCCTTCGTGAGCCTAGCGCCAATGACGCTATTTAACTGGATGTGCGGACGCGAACGGTTGCGGTGGATGGGGACTCGAGCGGTGAAAGGATGAGAGCAGGCCTCGATCACAATGACAATTCTTCATGGCACACCGTTCTCCCCGAATATCTGCCACATGGACTCATGATAAACGTAATCAAACGCTGCAACGAAGTTTACAAAACAGACGACGGCCGTGAGACTGCTTAGGCGTACAAGTTAATTAGTGTATCTACGTCAAGCTAAAAATCCGATTTGAATGGATATCGTCTTCAAGTCGGGCATTTTTGGAGCAGCATAAGAGTGACAAACTGGTGAAGACCGTTGCAACAATGACGGTGGCTTGTGTCAGCGGAAGAGTAACAAGATGGCGAAGACCCTTGCAACAATAACAGTGGCTTGTGTCGCGTTGGTTCTAAGTCGCAAAGATCTTTAAAACGGACCACCAGGGACGATAAAATTTCCCCATGCTCTGTAGTCACCACCGAAGACATTGGTGGCTTCGAGCGCATCTTCACGGCTATGGGTCCGAAAAAAACATGCGTTGTTGTCAGGCCTAAACGGGAGATCCGGTGCGCAGGGTGTGTATATGGGAAATTTATGGAGCGTCACCCACTACGCCCCCATCTTATCTCCATTCGGCTCGACCCGGGCTTGTGGGTAATGAAGGAATTCCTTGCGTAGCCAGTCTTGAATTAACCTTTTAACGTCGACTCCACGTCCAGTTCTGTCACCATAATAAATATGGCGCGGTAAAATTCGTGGCTTTACAGGCGAGACAACCCAGTCCTCTGCACCGAGAATGCGGCTGTATTAACTGTTTGTCAATTGACCATGTTCAGGACTGAGAGATAAGCTACAACAGCTCATTCTCAATGCGGCATTCTCACCCACCATTATAGTAGTCTGGTGCATCCGGAATGGGAACCAGGTCGTGTGTGTGGCTGTTTAGCGTTGTCGGCCACCGCGCGCGCGCCCTCCTCTGACTACGTCGTGCCATCGGTGAGTGAGTGACGAGAGAGTGCAGTAGATCAGACGAATATGCGATCGCTGGAATAAGAAATGTACTAGTCTGACGTTTCGGATTCTCACTCGAACCAACCATTTTGCGCGTGTCTGCCCCACGATAGACTAATTCACGCGAAATTCACTTGGTGTTGCACCTACTCCGGAGGTGGGGGTACACGGCGGTCGTCGCTTATGACAGTTGAACTGCCACAAAGAGCCCCCCCCCAATCAATGTGAAATTTGAGATTGTGAGGATGAGTCCATGAAAAGCGACAACGGTAGGGTGTAGGACCCCACGTAACTGGCAACTTCAGCGTGTGCACTGAAATTCACTGAGACCGATTATTCGCCGTTCCCATAGGTTGAAATTTCCTTGCCGTCCTGACCAAGTGTACACTTACAAGCGGTGGTTTATTCAAAGTCTGTATTTCTTTGAAAATTGCTCTTCGTTTACTTGTTAATTATCGCGCCCGCTTTTTGCCAGAGGACAACGTACAATATGACTTTCGACAGAAATTGACTTAGTTTCTGTGTTCCTTCGCACCGCACCCGCGCTTTGTCCTGCGTGCTACCATCATTCAACGTATGAGAGGGTCCAGAGGTTAGTTGGGGTCCTACACCCTACGGTTGCAGTTAAAAGCTAATGCATGTGTGACATGCGCAGACGAGGACTTAACGCTGCGATCGCCACCACCGAATTTCACCTCCAGTTTGCTTTACTCAAACTTACCAGAAGTGGAAGAATGAGCGAAGACGATCCGGCGTACGCTCTCATCACTATAATGAATCGGTCAGGCATGGCTATGTAGCCCCACATGAAGTAAAGAAACCCCAGCCACCTGTAGAACGGGACCGGTGGTAATAGGGGTTTTTCCGAGAGGGACGGGGGAACGCACAGGCGACGAGGTCAAGTAGCTGTATGCGAAAGGAGAGCTACTGGGGATGCGCGGTTGTATTTTGAGCGGTTGAGAAATAGCTGCCCTAACCCCTAACTCTACCCTCAATCTCAAAAGTATTGTGTCCATCAGGTGGGGCTACGCAACCCCATCTTACCTAAATCTGATGCATTTTAAACTATCACGATGGACGAGGAGGGACTGGACATCAGTTTTCACCATGCAGAAAAATAGTTTTTTTTACATACTGGCATGACTGTGTGAGGAACGTGTCTCGGGGGTTAGCCAATTCCAGTCTAAACAACTGGTTAGCTTCAAAATCAACTGAAGACACTTCTGCCCACCTGGAGAACAGAGGCCGCATTGAAATCCTGCAGAAACTGAGCCCAACGCAAATTGTCCTCCACAATGGTGTGGTTTAGCAATCGAAGACTGAAAAACAGAACATAACTTAGCCTCAACGGTAGGTATAGAGAAGAGTAGTCACCAAAAATCCTTTTAGAAGTGACCTAGTTTGTTTGTATCAGGGGAAATCAGAGTTTCGACACTTACCTGCATGTCGTATCAGATTGTATTCGGTAAAAAAAATTGAGAAAATCACAGTGACAAGAAAAAGGAGTTCTTCTCCATTCTGAAAAGAAGACCGTCTCGCGAAACCTTACAAAAAATAACTTCGCCGGGAAGGGGGGGTTAGCTGAAAATGAAGGCTAGCTGTGTGTACCGTGTATAGCCTTGTGGGACGCTGGGTCGTGCAACAAGAGAATACTTTCCTACCGGTGAAGGCGATGGGCATAATTAAGAAGGCCTTGCTAGTAATCACAACCTGATTCGACCAGGGCATTTTGAGAGGAACGGCAATTACCTCAGAGTCTCTTCGGTGATTCGGAGAATTAAGGCACTTTTAGTACGCAGCAGAGGAAGCAGAACCTTCTTCCTAAAGACCTCGCTGTCCGTCTGAAAGGGCCAGGGAACAAAGAAAAGACAACATGCAAACGCATTTACGTGCTCAATGCATTGAGACGGCGAAGATACAAGGTAACACTAGAGGGAATCTTGCCAACCTCTAAATCTCCGGGCTTCGTGTGTCCCCTCCCTCCCCAAGCTATGGCCGAGGTAAATACTGAGGAGGGCTTCACACGCCCTGCAAACTCCGGCTGGACATAGCCGGCTGACGACAGATGATAAGTCATCTTCGTCTCCCCTGTCTTTGTCGGTACTCCTGCCGCGTGATCACTGGCCGCTACCCAAATGCCTGCGAGGGCTCTAAATTTGTGCTTCAAAGGTATAACGAGACAAGCAGGTCACGTAGCACTCTTAGCAAACCTGCGTGCGGCTAGTTGAAATGCGTGGCAATAAACGAGACAATGCCGAGAAGTTTGACTGGGAAAGGAGGACAGAGCCTGGGAGAGCGAGCCAAACCCAGTATTGGGCGCAGGCGTGTCCCCAAAAACCATCTTCTCTAAAGCAAAATGACAAGAGTGGCAGTAGAGAGCATCAAAAGAGTAATCCTAATACAACATGCGATTTTAAAGAGAACTTGAGAATAAAGGCAACTGCTTAGGGTTAGAAAGAATTCACTTGAGAACGAACCGGCCATGTTGCACTATCTCGCAGCCGTAGAGGCCATAGCTCGTCGACGGCCTTACTGATGATGTTGCGGTCAACAGAGGATGTGAACTGGACTCGTAGAATGTCGTCGAGGAAGATAGTAAACTCAGTGAGCTCATCGGAGGTCTGGAAGCGGACAAGGGCAGGGGATATTTAGAAACAGGCGGGCTAGGAAACTGAAAAGCATGCGTGACAAAGTGTCGGCAACTTGTGCTCGCATAGGAAATTCTTTTAGGGACTGAAGAATGCATCAGAATATTGTGATTTGTGGACAAAAAGGGTGTGATGACTTGCAAATGCACGCGCCCGGTCCTGACGAAATACCGGTAAAGTTGTTGAAGGAACTAGCCACAGAATTGGCAGAACCTCTGAGCCTCCTCTTCCAAGCCTCTCTTGATGCAGGCAGACTGCCTCCTGAGTGGAAGACTGCGTGGATCTCACGGATTCATAAAAATGGCAGTCGCGCTTCCGCAAACAACTACCGACCAGTAAGCCTCACGTCCATATGCTGCAAAGTTATGGAGCGAATTATCAAACGCGAACTGATGCGGTTTTTAGAGCAAAATCATCTTCTGTGCGATGCACAGCATGGTTTCCGCAGAGGGAGGTCCTGCTTGACTAATCTACTCTACTGTCTTCAGCAGTGGACCCGGGCGATTGATGAAGGAAACGTTGTGCATGTGGCCTACATAGACTTCAAGAAGGCCTTTGACAGCGTGCCTCACCAACGTCTCCTATACAAGCTCAGCCGCATAGGGGTGAGGGGCAAGCTTTTGAAATGGATTGAAGACTTTTTGGTCGGTCGGTCCCAGACTGTTCGTCTTGGTGGCCAGCAATCGGCAGAGGTGACGGTTACGAGCGGAGTACCTCAGGGCTCCGTTCTTGGCCCTATCCTCTTCCTCATCTATATCGATGACTGTATCCATGGTTTGGACTGCGAATTTGCCATGTTTGCTGACGATATAAAGCTTTGGACCGTCATCCGCAACGAGGACGATGAAGCAAATTTACGGGCAAACTTAGACCGACTTGAACAATGGTCAGGCCAATGGCTCCTTCCATTTAATGTTACCAAATGCAACATTCTGAGGATTGGCAGAACCAGCTCTGCGCCCCGGCAGACGTACTATCTAAATCACACACCGCTGCCACTGGTATAGGTTCAGAAAGACCTAGGAGTGTGGATAACATCTTCACTAAAGCCATCATTCCACTGCTTGAAAGTAGCGAAATCCGCAATGTCCAGCTTATATCTCATTAAGCGGGCATTTGCCAAGTTCGACGAAGAGTGCTTTCGCAAGGTCTTCGGGATATTTGTGCGCCCACAGTTAGAATTTGCCATCCAGGCCTGGAGACCCTGGACTGTTAAAGATCGTACCACCCCCGAAAAAGTCCAACGACGGGCAACCAAGCTTGTCAGAGGTCATAAATACCTACCTTACGAAACCAGACTTTCAAATCTCCACCTCTTTCCCCTGGACTACAGACAACTCCGTGGCGACTTAATTCAAACGTTTAGAATGTTACGGGGTCAGGACTGCTGTCTCGCATCCAGCGACTTCTTTGAGCTGGCCACCACTACTAGCTTGAGAGGACACCCTCTGAAATTACGTGTGACACGAGCGAGACTGGACGCAAGGAGGTCCTTTTTCAGCCACAGAGTGGTAAAGGCATGGAACGCCCTGCCTGTGGACGTCGTCATGTCCTCATCCGTGGACTCATTTAAGAGAAAGCTTGACCAGTACAGGGATATGTACCTCCACAGCATCGGAAACTAACAAATTTCCCCCCTGTACCAACCGCTCCACCCAACGTTTTTATGTTACAAAGCATGCTACTCCCTATATTTCAGTAACATTACGTTTTACAATGTTTGCTATCTCCTGACCGCCACATATGCGCTTTGGTCCATTCAGTACCGTATTGTAAAATTTTGACATAGAAGGCATTCACAGACAAATTCATACCAGTGACCAATGCTTGATGTATGTAATTACTTACCTAATTTTTTTTCAAACTTGCCTTACACATCGTTTTTTTATGACGTTATTGTAACCAAAAGGGAGTTCAAAGGCGCTCGCCTATCTTTCCCTTAATAAATCTGATATGATCTGATCTGAATCTCTTAAGCTTATTCCGGGAGTTTCACTCTAGCACGTTTAGCAAAAAATGGTCAGAGCACCGTTTGAAAATTAAGAATATAGTATGAAAAAACAAGTGCCCGACAAATTGCACCCGAAGAAGGCCGCAGAGCCAGTTGACTACAATAGGGTTTCGAGTGTACTTGTGCTTGACGCATCTCTGACCATGCCGGTAACTATGATCCCGATGCAGGCGCGACTGTCTTTGATGCAGCATTTAGTGAGCAGAAACCGGCCAGCGACTGAGAGAGCAGACCAAAGGTCCGAAAACCACCTCTATGTATGAACGGATCGTGCTAATCCAAATTTCGAGCCGACCGCTTCGTCGACTTCAGTAACGTGGCAAAGGCAGATTGAACGGGCGGAGAAATTTTCCAGACCACGGTCGTCTTCCCTCCCAGTACTGTCCCAACGAATGCGGACCGTCCCACTCGAAAGTAATCTGGTGTACTTCACTCAGTTCTCAGTGATGGTCGAGAACCGCGTCATTCCAGGAGCTCCGTCGTCTAGCTGAAGCATGGCACAGCATTCACAGTCGTATAGGACCCACTGGACAGATGTGCAGTGCATGCAGATCTTAGTGAGACATCAAGATGGACTAACGGACACCTTGCAGGGTTTGCGAAACTCCGAAGACAGCACTGATTCCAGCGACAGTGTCGTCTTGACGCCATTCACTTTGCAAAGACTTGACTGATGGAAATTGGACATAGCCTCCCTCTTCAAGCTGACGGTCATAAGTCGCGATGAATGCCTCTTCAAGAATACTTTTGCTTTTGCAGCATTCGATGACAAAACCAAGATTTTAAGGATCTCTCTAACCGAGGCATTTGTAGCTTGCTAGCAGTATTCGACGACGGCCACCTACACCAGACTGTGTTTAAAATAAGGAAAACGAATGAGCTGCATTGGTAGTCGACGGTGTGCCAAGACGTCTAACAGAAATATTCCTAGTCGCGAATACCCTTTGTCAATGGCGCTTTTATGAATTGCTATTGCAGGCAACGCGAAACGATCAGTGTGGGTGGTCTGACTCCAGGTGGACGTCGAATTAGTGCGAAGGGATCATGGATTGACTGGTCACTGATCAGGCAAATATGCTGGCATTTTTCGTGTGCTGTCGGCGTCTGAAGCCTCCTTCCCGGAGGCCGCTATCTCATTCCAATAGTTCCCTTGCGGTGTTCTTTATTCAACCTTGTATCAATTTTAGGAAGTTGACGAGAAAAGCAACATTAGCGGTGTGACGTCCCTGGTGTCGATTTGTATTGTCTTTCCTTTTGCTACTAACCGTTTGTTAGTAACCAGACTTTACTCATACCACCCCGTCTTTGTCTCTGTATCCCTATTCGTCCGTTCTCGTCATTCTTTGAACAGGAATCGTGAGATCCCCCCTTTAGGATGCACAAAATGTGAGCGCGTTCGTCTTCGGTGACACGCGTTCACAGGCTCAGGAATCAATTCACTTGGCTGGCACTGACTGGGTCCTGCTCTCACACACACACACACATCATCTTCGTGGAGACGCGCGAGAAGGCCTTGAGCTGGCCGTGCGTGGAGAACTCTGGTGCTGACCGGTGCCGTACGCTTTCTCCACTTAATGAGTACTCTGACTGGTTATTGCGGTGGTTAAGGTGCATCCACTCTCTTAGCCGCGACAAATTGGTAACCATGGCGTATTCCCTAGCATGGCGTCTGTTCTAAGGGGCGCGAGGTGCATACGTGTTTGAGACGCTTACAAGTTGTAGCCGTCCGACCATACCAGATACCAGACCAGTAGACGCCTGGAACGATTGAGGCATGTGCTTGTGACAAGTAGCCAGAGTTATTAGGGCTTAACAATCTTTTAACTATTATAGCACCCAAGAGTCGGCTGGCTAAGCACACCCATTCCAGTCACTGTCAAAGATTAGCACATGATGACAACGAATAGTATCAACCGGTCCCGGCAGCTGCGAACAGGTGTCTTGATCGTGATCTTGCTCGAGCAGAAAGAGATGCTCCTAAATTATCCCCTTGGATGGAATTATGCCAGCCCATCATTGACTGATTCCCGCGTAAGCAGCAGTTGGTTCGCCTGTTCGGGGGGTAGATTGTCACACCTTGATGATCAGGGTGACTTAGGAACCACTACGATGGGGGGAAAACATTAATTCCCTCCGAGACTGTCCCGCAGCCTGAGATTCAGACTCTGACAGGCGGCAGATATCCGCAATGCGTTGGTCAAGGCTGCACAATACCAGACGTCAGGTGTCCTTATCAGGGGACGCTCGCACATTTTAGGATTCAACAGTGTAGGTTCTACTAGTTCTCTGCAGTACAGGTAGAACTTTAAAAGCCGCCGGATTGTTCGTCCGAGACTGCTTCCTCTGGGGCCGTGGTATGTTGTAAACTAACCACAAGGAAGGAGATGGTGGTATAACTTGTTTAGCAGTGGTCCACGACAATTTTAAGAAAGCCGGTGTCAAACTTTGCGCTACTTTACAGGACATTTGGAGCCAGAGCGCAGCCGTGTATGTCCTGGCTGCCCCACCATTATCGATTGGCGACCTCCTATTAATCGGTGTAAGTCTGTTTCGCAACCAGCCTCGCCGAAGACCATCTGACTG